TGACCCACCCTAATGCCAAGATGTGGCCAAAGAGACTCTTAATACTTTACCTATATGACCAACAATAATCTTTTTTTTTGAAAATTTGAGGGTTTTGATTCACAAAGAATTCGACCACTTCTTTGGTTTTCACAACTCCGTTTACACGACGAGTCCGTCTCCACGACGAGTCCGTCTCCTCGACGAGTCAGTCTCCACGACGAGTCCGTTTCCACGACGAGTCCATCTCCACGACGAGTCCGTCTCTACGACGAGTCCGTCTTCAAAAAGAGTCTGTCTCCACGACGAGTCCGTCTCCACGACGAGTCCGTCTCCACGACGAGTCCGTCTCCACGACGAGTCCGTCTCCACGACGAGTCCGTCTCCAAGACGAGTCCGTCTCCACGACGAGTCCGTCTCCACGACGAGTCCGTCTCCACGACGAGTCCGTCTCCACGACGAGTCCGTCTCCACGACGAGTTCGTCTCCACGACGAGTCCGTCTCCACGACGAGTCCGTCTCCACGACGAGTCCGTCTCCACGACGAGTCCGTCTCCACGACGAGTCCGTCTCCACGACGAGTCCGTCTCCACGACGAGTCCGTCTTTACGACGAGTCCGTCTCCACGACGAGTCCGTCTCGACGACGAGTCCATCTCCACGACGAGTCCGTCTCCACGACGAGTCCGTCTCCACGAGGAGTCCGTCTCCACGACGAGTCCGTCTCCACGACGAGTTCGTCACCACGACGAGACCGTCTTCACGACGAGTCCGTCTTCACGACGAGTCCGTCGTCACGACGTGTCCGTCTCTACAACGAGTCCGTCTTCACGACGAGTCCGTCTCCACGACGAGTCCGTCTCCACGACGACTCCGTCTCCACGACGAGTCCGTCTCCACGACGAGTCCGTCTCCACGACGAGTCCGTCTCCACGACGAGTCCGTCTCCACGACGAGTCCGTCTCGACGACGAGTCCATCTCCACGACGAGTCCGTCTCCACGACGAGTCCGTCTCCACGAGGAGTCCGTCTCCACGACGAGTCCGTCTCCACGACGAGTTCGTCACCACGACGAGACCGTCTTCACGACGAGTCCGTCTTCACGACGAGTCCGTCGTCACGACGTGTCCGTCTCTACAACGAGTCCGTCTTCACGACGAGTCCGTCTCCACGACGAGTCCGTCTCCACGACGACTCCGTCTCCCCGACGAGTCCGTCTCCACGACGAGTCCGTCTCCACGACGAGTCCGTCTCTCAGAACAAGTTTAGATACTGAATAGTTTTGTGATCATCCTAAAGGACATCTCGAGGACACCACACTATATTTTCCCCCGTTAAAATACTGTGAGTAAAATGCGTCAAAATACCTACCCCAGAAGAAGCGTTCAAATCTTTTGTCCCGCTCTTTAAAAGACATCGTCTCACCTTTCTCACCCCACATTGCTTGAAATATCTGTTGCTCGGCGCTGCCTTCGCTTCCGTTTCGGTTCGATTCCGGTGAATCTCTTCATGCATGCTTGAAAGCACGTTTCTCTTCTCATTCGCTTCCCCCTTCACAGAAGACCACCCACTCAGTCCCGCCTTGGCAAACGGAGACCTTTCTATAATGTCATTGACAAAACAAGCCCAGCCGTAGCAGCGGAAGCAGCAATGAGAGTTTCCTAATCATACGGATTAGTTTGGCTTAGATTAGAAATATTAAAATATCATTAGCAGACGATTGCGATAAGTTCATTCGTACACGTGTCTGAATTGGAATCGGAAACCACTGCCGGGTTCCTATCTCGACAGGCGGGATGATGTTGTCCACCTCCGACTGGAGAGTTGAAATCTAATGTCCGAAGCATAACAGCCGGAAGGATTGTGGATATGCTTTGTGTTTAATCTAATTGATTTGAATTGACCAAGCACAGGCTTCCGATCTGGCGTGGAAGGATTTGGATTCATTTTTATCGCTTTAATAAGGTGAGACAATCGATAAACAATTAGCAGCGCCGCTTGCCGGATCGAGGAAAAGTTTAGTCGGAAAATTTCTCTGGTGCAAAAAAAGGTTAAATTATTCATGCACCCCAAGGAGAGAGAGAGAGGGAATACTGATTTACTTTTTGGGTCGGGCTTAGATTACCGGATGGATTTTTTATCTAGTCTATTTCATTTTCTGCACCATTGTTGGTGGAAAAGTTATGCCGCACTTCAATTTTAATCACTTAGAGTTTTATTCGCCTCGAAACTTGCGGGAAGACAGTGCAGAGTTTATGAAAATAATGTGGCATGGAATACTTTCTTATGACGCCTATACTGGCCCGACTGACGCTTGATGAAGGTTGATTGATCCCTCTTGGTTACTCGCCATTTTCCATTGTTACAGCCCATGGCACCGTTTGCGCCGTTGAAATCGGTTGCGTAATTGAAATTAAACTGATGCACTTTTTCCCCAACTTTCTGGCTGTGAAACTTCCCGTCCCTAATCCCTTGCAGGAAAACCACACCATCAACTGACTGCGGAACTGCTGGCTGCTACTGGCAATGAGGCTGTGGTCGCATGATGGACCTTCACCATGAATGGGAGAGAAAGAGAGAGAGAGATGGAGGAAACCGAAAGGCAACCGAACAGAACTACATTCATATATTAAATGGCCAGGCGAAAAAGTGAATTTCCGACCCGGGGCTGCGGACCGCAAAAGTTAAAATCAAACCCTAAATCAACCCGATCGTCTGGAAGAATTGCGGTTTTCCAGCATCCGCTCTTTTGCCGGATATTCATCGGGCGTTGCTTCGAATTGTGGCTGCAGCGCTGCAGGATTGTTGTACAGTGTGTTCTGTAGCAAATCTCGGCCAAACTAAGTTGGAGGCGGGGCAGGACAGCTGCGTGAAGCGGGGATGAGAAGACCACACTAAACTCAGTCTGTTTCGGGGAATGAAGAGCAGTCCGTGTGACGACGTGGCTCGCATTGTGGAAAGTTTCGGTTGAAAGGGTGGTATTTTGCGCCTCTTGTGCTGGTGGTGTCGAAAGGGCATTTGCTGCGGGTGTATTCTGCCCAGTACTCGATGGACTTTGCTGAGTTTACGGAAGTTCGTGTATCATTATCGGAACTGTGACCGGGAGCGGGGACAGTTGTCGAAAATTAGTACGATGTTTCGAACTTCTACATCGGACATTGTGCATGAAGTGTGGTTGGCATTGTACGCATCGATACTGGGTCAAATTTTAAATCGATGAACCAGTGAACTGACTTGTGCCTAGCATAACTGCCAATGAAATAATGATAGGCGTCGTTCAATATGGTTTTGGCTTTCGCTTCATTCAATGCCAGCCAGTATACTCTTCTCTTATCCTAGACCACCACTAACCGATACTAGAGAGCAGGGTTTCCCAACCGGTGGTCCACGGCCGACAGGGGGGTTGCGGAGTCTCTTCAGGGTTCTGGTTTGTTTGGTCTAAAAAAAAATATGCCAAAAGTGACAAAACATTTTTTGAATCGGGTGGCTTACAGTGGGAAAAAGTAAGTGAAGTTAATACCGATGACGCTCTGGCAATGCTTGGTAACAAATCAAGATTTCAGAAAGAGAGTATAGAGCTTGCTCCATACGCCACAGGTGTTCGATATGCCCTTGTCAGCAAGAGCAATACTCTGCCGGAACTAATGTTAAAAGTACTTGATTATGTCATCACAATTGTTAACTATGTCAATTCTGGAGCTCTGAACACTCGTTTATTCAAAGAACTTTACAAGCAAATTACCCAAGTAACATTGCATGTTTTATTGAGGTTTTAAAGCATGCTACAAGTCCAAACCATGGTATACAGAACCCTCTTAAAACCAAAATTGTTACTTGGGTAATTCAGATCGCGTGGTTCTTCTTTTCTACACTGTTGTGCACTGGTTGTCCAAAGGCTATGTTCTCAACCGTGCTTTTGAATACAGTTAGGTTCAAGCTATCGCAGCGACCAGGCGTTTTACAATCGGGCTCCGCGTGTGAAAAGTTTTCGGTTTTATCCCTTCCGCACTTCGGTCTGATAAATTTTCTGCGTCAAGTACTGACGACAAACAATCTCGCTGTCTGCATTTCGTATGCACTTCACGCGACTATGACATCTGTGCGACCTCGTGAAAATACCTTCAAGGTACTACTCTCGAACTTCCCAAAGCGACCGTCGTTCGAAGATCTGCACTTGTTTGTGCATCATACTCTCGGGTTGCGACTCGACCAAATATTGCGACTCCAGATGAACCATGCACAAAATTGTGTGCATGTCAAATGTCCTGACCTGAAAACAGCGCAGGACACGGTGATTCTACATGACGGACGACATGAGCTGGAGGTGAACAAGAAGAAATACAAAGTGCGACTTAAGATGGACGATGGGGGGGTGGAAATTAAAATCCATGACGTGTCTGAGAATGTGACGAAATGTTTGCAGCCTTGAAGCAGTACGGTGATGTAGTGAGTGCAAAGGAGCTAACCTGGAGTGATGGCTTTGCATGCAAAGGGATCCCTTCAGGAGTTTGGGTCCTCAAAATGAACTTACGACGACACATCAAGTCATTTATTAACATCCAAGGCGAGCAATCACTGGTGACCTACCGGAACCACCCTCAAACGTGTCGACATTGTATGAATTTGTCGCATCCAGGCAGTACATGTGTGGAAAATAAAAAAAAACTACTTGGACAAAAGGTTGACCTTGACAGTCGTTTGAAGCGAGCACAAGCTTCCAATGGTCCAGGTCCGACCTCTCAAGCAGCAAAGACTGGTTCGGCAGCTATCAGTTTTGCAGCTATATTGAACAATGCAGCTCCACTTGTTCCAACACCACCGTTTATGCGTGACAATACGTTCCAGACTCAAAGCCTAAAACACATCTTTGGCCCGCCGGCTACCCTCTCCACACCCTCGACCAGTAGCACAGTCCTTGCAACAGCTACTACTGTAGGCACTGTGGGTGAAATCCAGCTCGACCACGAAATGGATCAAAGCGGAATAGGAAAAACAACAATCAACGTTGCAACAGCAAAACAACTAGAAGAGACGACGACTGGAGAACGTTCCACTGAAGGCAATATCATGGGCTCTGCTGCTGCTGCCGCTGCTGTAGCTATTGTTGCTGATGCTGCTGCTGTTGCTGTTACTGCATCGTCTAGTGTATTGAATAGATCATCTGGTGATCATAGCACCCATTCGGTCGTGCAGACCCAACGTGATGACTATGGTATCAGCTCCTGCCACGTGCCAGCATGCAAAATTCCCATCAACCCAGTCCTTTCCAAGTCCTTGACCATAGAGATTTCCGAGAGTGAAAGTAACGAGTCATCCACTAAAGGTACTCCGTTCCTAAAAGTGAAACGTGGAAGAGGACGGCTATTACGGAGTATTACGGCTAACAATCACGTAACGAATCAAAATGAATCATTCCCCTGTTAGTTATAATGTAGGCTCCATCAACACCAATGCTGTCTCCAGTGTGAATAAAATCTCATCTCTCCGCTCGTTCATTCGATTGATGGATTTTGACATCATCCTTTTACAAGAAGTTGAATGTGAAACCTTGTGTATTCCAGGTTACAACGTTATCACCAACGTAGATAATGATAAAAGAGGAACAGCTATCGCTCTTAAAGCGCATATTCCGTACACAAACGTACAACGAAGTTTGAATAGTAGACTTTTAACGGTTAAAGTTAACGATTCTATTACTATCTGCAACCTTTACGCTTATTCGGGTACGCAGAACTTCTCTATACGTGAAGAATTTTTCAAAGAACAACTGTCTTTCTATCTTCAAAGTTCTGCTGAACACCTTATATTAGGTGGTGATTTCAATTGTGTAATCGCAGCCAAAGATGCTAATGGCACAGGTAACCTCAGTCCATCCCTAAAGCAATTTGTGGATACTCTGAGTCTCTCTGATACATGGGACTGTTTGAACAAAAATAGGATTGATTACAGTTTTATTCGTCCGAACTCTGCCCCTCGTTTAGATCGCATCTATGTCTCTAGGTCACTTGTTCCGCATCTTCGAACTTCGGAGCTGCTTGTCACATCCTTTTCAGACCACAAAGCGTACAAGATTCGATGTTGTTTACCTAGCTTAGGCAAGCCACATGGTCGGGGTTTTTGGTCTATCCGTGCGCACGTTCTGAATGAAGAAAATCTAGAGGAATTTGAACAAAAGTGGCGTCGTTGGCTTCGTGAACGACAAAATTACAACAGTTGGTTTTCTTGGTGGATCGAATTCGCAAAGCCAAAAATTCGAAGTTTCTTCAGATGGAAGACTAACGATTCATTTCGTGAATTCCACTCAGCAAATGAACTGTTATACCGCCAACTAAGAGACGCGTATGACCGGATGTATCAAAACCCAAATGGTATGACTGAAGTCAATAAAATAAAAGCCAGAGTTGTTTTGCGAAAGCGTACGAACGGATAAACGACAAATTCGTTTGTTGAGAAAAATTATCCTCATTTCAGATTGGTGACCGTTATCGTAAGAAAACTATTATTAACTCTATCCGTCACCAAGAGCGTTTGCTCACTGATGTATCTGAGATAGAGAACCATGTGTATGAATTCTTTAAGAACTTGTATACTGTAGATGATATATCCAGTAACGAAAGTTTCCCCACTAACCGAAGCATTCCACCGGATTCAAATACCAACAACACTATGATGGATGAAATTACAACATACGAAATATTTTTTGCTATTCGGTCCAGTGCATCCAGAAAGTCTCCAGGTAACGATGGAATTCCTAAGGAATTCTACATGAAGGCGTTCACTACTGTTCATCCCCAACTTAAGTTGATTATCAACGAAGCGTTACAAGGAAACATCCCTGAAAAATTTGTTGCAGGAGTGATTGTTTTGGGCAGAAAGAAAACGAATGACGAAACTGTCAAAGCATTCAGACCCATAAGTCTCCTTAATTACGACTACAAACTTCTGTCGAGTATACTCAAACAACGTTTGGAAAAAAGTTATGATTGAAAATAATCTTCTCAACTCCAGTCAAAAATGTTCAAATTCTTATAGAACTATTTTTGAAGCAGTACATGCAATCAAAGATAGAATTGCAGAATTCAATTGCAAACGTAGGACAGGAAAATTAATTTCCTTCGACTTCGATCACGCTTTCGATCGAGTTAGTAAAAACTATTTAAAGGCTGTGATGCAGAATATCCACTTAAACCAAAATTTTGTGCAACTCTTAGGGAAGATTATGTCCGCTTCTAGTTCTAGTTAACTTATAAATGGAAATCTCACACTAAAATTCCCAATCGTACGCTCTGTTAGACAGGGCGATCCCTTAAGCATGCACCTATTCGTGCTATATCTGTCTGGGTCCTGTGCACCACCAGCGGTGCAAAGGGCCAACGTGAAAGACTTCCATCCTGGGCGGGTGCTCGCTTTTGCCTTGACCTGGGCCCAGGTCAGATTTCTATCGACTTGCTTAATTTCCTTATTGAGACTCCGCCACCATGAGCCCCTGGGTCTGCCTCTGCTGCGATGTCCTGCTGGATTCCAATCCAGCGCTTGCTTGCAGATTTCGTTTCCGCCCCGTCGAAGTGTGTGGCCGACCCACCTCCACTTTCGCTCTCGAATTTCTGTTGCTATCGGCTTCTGATGACATCGACGATGGAGCTCGGCATTCGAGATCCAGTTGTGAGGCCACCAGGCACGAATTATATACCGCAGGCATCGGTTGATGAAAACCTGCAGCTTTTGAGTGTTCTCCTCTGATACACACCACGTCTCGCTGGCGTATAACAACACAGATTACACGTTCGAGTTGAAAATTCGGATTTTGGTGCGTTGACTTATCTGGTTGGATCTCCATACGTTTCGTAAACTCGCAAAGGCAGCCCTAGCCTTCTTGATTCGTGCACCTATGTCGATCTTGATCCCGCCGTCCGACGCTATTTGGCTGCCAAGATATTGGAAACTTTCGACCTTCTCCACTGCTTACCCCGCTACCGTAAAGTTGGAAGGGTTGCCCGTGTTGATATCCAACGATTTGGTCTTGTTGACGTTGATGGTGAGACCCACCGCAGAGGAGCGTTCGGCTAGGTAATTGAGCTTACTCTGCATATTAGAGCGCCGTTGTGCTAGTAGATCAACATCATCAGCCAAATCTAAGTCGTTGAGATGCTCCATGGTGATAGGCTGCCAAAGCAGCCCACGGTTCGGTACACGGTTAATTGCACCTACCATGATCTCGTCGATTACGATGAGAAACAGTAGCGGTGATAGTATACATCCTTGTCTCACACCAGCGACTACCCGGATAAGGTCGGACAAGGCTCCGTTATGCAGAATTCTGCACGTGAAAGCCACATACTGCGCTTCGATGAGGTTGACGATTTTATGCGGGACTCCCTTGCGTCTCAGGGCGCCCCACAGATTCTCGTGATTGAGACGGTCGAAAGCTTTATCGTAGTCAATGAATACCAAATAAAGGGACTCTTGGAATTCATTGACCTGCTCCAGGATGATGCGGAGCGTGACAATATGGTCCACACAAGATCTTCCGGCACGGAATCCTGCCTGCTGCCGTCGGAGAGTCGCAACGATCTTCTCCTGTATCCGATTCAGGATAACTTTGCACAGAACTTTGAGAACAATACACAGTAACATGATGCCTCGCCAATTGTCGCACACAGTCAGATCCCCCTTCTTTGGGACCTTCACTAAGATGCCCTGCATCTAGTTGGCCGGAAAAGTCGCGGTGTCCCAGATATTACAGAATAGTTGATGCAACATTTGTGCGGATAGCATGGGGTCAGCTTTGAGCATCTCTGCTGATATGCGATCGACCCCTGGAGCCTTGTTGGATTTCATGCTTCGGATAGCTGCTTCAATCTCCTGCAGTGATGGGGCCTCGGAATTGACGCGAGTGATGCGCCGCACCCTAGGCGGATCATGCCGAGATGTTGATGGCTGGTTGGCCGTCGAAACTTGAAGAAGTTGTTCGAAGTGCTCAAACCAGCGTTTCAGCTGGTCAGTGGGGTCGGTAAGCAATTGTCCAGTCGTGTCCTTCACTGGCATCCTCGGGTTCATCCTTGCTCCACTCAGGCGTTGTGAGATATCGTAGAGGAGGCGTATATCGCCAGTGTTTGCGGCTTTCTCCCCTTCGTCGGCCAGGGAGTTCACCCACGCTCGCTTGTCCCGTCTGCAAGAGCGCTTGACTTCCTTCTCTAGAGCCGAGTACCGTTGACGGGCTTCGTTCTTGGCTCCTCTGGTTCTCGCCCGCTCTATCGCGGCTTTTGCTTCTCTACGCTCCTCAATCTTCCGCCAGGTTTCATCTGTGATCCACTCTTTCCTCTGGGTGCGCAGCTCACCCAAGTTGTTCTCGCTTGTTTCTATAAAGGCATTCTTGATGGCCGTCCATTGTTCTTCTACGCTGCCACCTTCTGGAACGTCCGCAGCTCGAGTCTCAAGTTCTTCAACAAAAGACCTTTTTACCGCTGGATCTTCAAGTCGGCGTGTGTTGAACCGCCGCCCGAGTCTCTCCTCCCGTCGCTGGATCCGTCTCCATTTTCGGCTGATGCAGATGTGGTCGATCAGATTTTCGGTATGTCCATCACGGGAAACCCACCTGACTTTGTTCACTGGCCGATAGGGGAAGAGCGAGCCCCCGATCAGCAAAATTCTGCAAACAGCTCACCGTTCTCGCTCATTTCGCCGAGACCATGGACGCTCATAGTCCGTGTTGTCGGAGCCGATCTTCGCATTGAAGTCGCCAGTGTAGATCTTGATGACACCCTTTGGAACCTTATCCACGACGGCATTCAGTTGACTGTAAAAATTCTCCTTGTCCTGTAGCTCGGCAGCATCGGTTGGCGCATAACATTGGATTATGGTAAGGTTACGAACCCGTGTTCTAAATCTGGCAACGATTATCCTCTCATTAACAGGCTCCAACTTGATGAGCGCAGCACTTGCCTGGACGCTAAGTAGGAGACCAACTCCACGATGGCGGGGAGCGTTTTCACCTCGAATACCAGAGTATAGTAGTACCTGTCCCGACGGCAGTTTGTGTTCTCCAAAGTTTGGCCAACGAACTTCACTCAGTCCCAGGATTTCTAGCTTCATGCGTCGCGCCTCGTTGGCGAGTTGTGCCAGTTTACCCTGCTGGGCTAA